CCAGGGAAAAGGGAGTCAACCAAACAGGATGGACTGTTGAGTGCTGGAGGCTCCCAGAGATGCAGAAGAGCAGATACGGGAGGGGGTGGGGGTGGGGGGACTGTCCTAGTCCTGGAGAGGGAGAGAGGGTGTGGGGCCACCTTTCCTGCTGAGCTTGCATTCAGGAGTGTCTTCTGTTTGATAGTGATGTGTTAGGAAATGTTCAGCAGCTCTCCAAACAAAACAATGACATACCTGTGATAGTTAATTTTATGTCACTTTGTGCCATGTGGTGCTCATGCATTTGAGTAAGCACTACTTGATTGTCCGTAAGCATATTTCTGAATGAGACTGACAAGATTGTCTTCCTTAATGTTGGTAGGCCTGAGTCAGTGTCCGCTGAAGACCTGAAGGGAGCAGACTGAGTGAGGGTGCCCACTCCTGCCTGATGTCTGGAGCAGAAACATTGTCCTAGTTTGCTTTCCTGTTGCTGTGATAAAACACTGACCAGAAGCAACTTGGGGGAGGAAAAGGTTTACTTGGCTTACAGGTTCCAGTCCATCATCCAGGGAAACCAAGGTAGGAACTCAAGGCAGGAAATGAAGCAGACCATGAGGGAACACGCTTCCTGGCTTGCTTCCACGCTCCTGTTCAGCTATGTGTCTTATACAGCCCAGGCCCACCTACCCAGGGATGGCACTGCCCACAGTGGACCGGGCCCTCCACCATCAATCAGCAATCAAAAAAATGCCCCACAGTCATGCCTAAGGGCCAGGTTCATGGAGGAAATTCCTCCATTGACGTTCCCTCTTCCCAGGTGTGTCAAGTTGACAACCAAGATTAGCCATCAGATATCCCCATCAGGTCCTATCTTCAGACTTGAATGGAAGCATCAGTGCTTCCTGGGTCTCCAGGTTGCTGTCTTTCAACTGCACTGTGTTGTGTTGCATCTCTCATGGAGAGATGCAAAAAAAAAAAAACCCACCTATTCACTATAGACCAAAGAAATCATCCCATCGAAGCCCAGCTTATGAACCAATGAGCTTATTGGGGTTCCTTCCAGGAACAAGTGAGGGGTTGCTTATAGAAGGGACTCAAAGGCAGCAGCATCACAGAAGACATGCTCCAACATGAGTGACAACTCTGGAAAGCTGTATCACTGGAATTCCCCATCAACTGTCCACCTCTTGTGTTCTAGAACTTCTAGTACGAGACCACAAGCAGCTGGGATTGGGGTAGGAGGAAGTAGTGCCTGGAATCTTCAGTTCAGGTATAATGAAGCCTTCCCACTTCTTCCAGGGAATGCTAACAGGCCTGATCTCTTAGTGTCTTTCATGGGTAATCACAGATGCTCTGATAACAAGACAGCAACAGTCATGTTATGGCCAGAGGACAAAGTTCCAAAGCAAACCGCACTATTAGCTTTCCTGGGTCTCTAGATTGTCAAGACCTTGAGCTAACACCGCCTCTATAGCCCTGTGAGTCACTACCTTGGAATAAGTTCTCTCTCTCTCTCCTCTCCCTTCTATTGATTCTCTCTCTGGAAAACCCTGATTGCACCAGAATAAAGCAAGCTCAGTTTGTTGTTCTTGGGTTTCCTTGTGGTGTGGGTGATTTCAGGAGACCCGTCACTGAGCTAGTGAAGTGCCAGTGGAAGATATGCATAATGGCTCTTGCAAGCCAGCTCCAGACTGCCACTGAACCCTCCCCCATCCGTACTCTCCTTCAGAAGTCAGATTGGATTTGTAGCGTTACTAGGAGTTCCAAGGTCACGTGCATGAGGTCTTCTACTTTTAGCTTCCATGAGGAAGGGCAGTGAGCAGCTGCTGGCCTGAACATCTTGCTCTTGTTCTCTGACACCCTCCTGCAAGACAAGATTCCTCTGGCAGTCCTCTTGTTATTTCTTTGCCTGCCTCTCACAGGTTCCAGTGCCTGGTCCCTGGCTTTAGGCCCAAGAGCTTGCTGGTACAGACCTGGAACTGGGGGAAAAAGCAACAATGGCCAGAGTAGCCACACAGCCCTGGACCTGACTCTCAGGTACCAGCCTAGACAGAAAGTGCTCCATTAAATAAAAAGTTCTTCCTTGGATCATAGGGTAATGGGCAGAGTAGGACTCAGCTGTTTTATGAGTCCTGTGATCTCACAATCTTTCATCATCAAAGCTTCCTAAGGCCTCAATGATCCTATCTTACTCAACACAGTGGGCTGTGGTGATCACTGTCCACACAGGATGGACTCTGACATCCACATCTGCACGTTCCAAGAAGCATACTGGAGATATTCCAGTGTGGTGCAGGTGATTTTTTAAACTGAATTTTTGTAATTTTCAAACAATATAGTTTGATAGTATTTAGATCTCCTCCCCTACCTGCATCTCCCCCACTGCCTCTGCCCAATTTACTCTCATATATATAATATAGCCTATAGAGTCTGACTTGTATCCCCAAATGTCCTTCAGTGAGGGTCCATCCACTAGGCCTACCAAAAGTTCCATCACTGTAAGACACTGTCTTTCCTCCTCCCAGTAGCCATCAGTTACCAAAAGCTCCTTAGGTTGGGTTGGGATTTCTTATCCACTTCCCCATGTCTATGCTGGGATTTTGTCTGGTTTGCATAGGATTTGTGCCTGCTGTCACAATTGCTGAGTTCATATGAGTGACTGACCAGCTGCCTGGAAAGCTGTTTCCTTGTGGTCATCTACCCTCTCTGGCTCACACTCTTTCTGCCTCCTCCTCTGCAATCATCCCAGGCCTTGGGAAGCAAAAGTTTGAAACAGGCATCCTTTTCAGGGATAAGCACTCTGTAGCCTTTTGTTCTTTGCACACTGGCCAACTGTGGATTTGTGTTAATCGTCAGCTGCTGCATAAGGATACTTCTCTGGTGAGAGATGACAGATGCATTCATCCTATGTGTAACACGTTGCATTAAAGATGTCACTTAGGGTTAAGCCTCTCACAGACACTTACTCTCTGCATCTGACCAGTTGTGAGACTCTGTAAGTCTTCACCTGTTGCCAAAAGCAGCTTCTTTGATGAAGGGTGAAAGTACACTTTTCTGTAAATACGAGGATGCATATTTAGAATAAAGTAAGGAATTACATTGGTCTAGGGATGTGGCAAAAGTAGGTTTTTCTCACTGGGTATCGTGGTGCATACCTTTAGTCCCAGCACTCGGGAGGCAGAGGCAGGCAGATCTCTGTGACTTCAAGGCCAGTCTGGTCTACACAGTGAGTTCCAGGCCAGCTGGGGATACAGGGAAACCCTGTCTCAAAAAAAAAAAAAAAAAAAATCTTTTTCTCTAGGATGTATGACCTCTCCAGTCATATGTATTTGGCTTTTTACAGTATCACACACATGATCCCTCCCATTGAGCAGGCTGCCCAGGTCAGGTAGGCACTGCCCTAAGGCACCAGACATGTTGTCAGGTGGTCTGGCTGTGTCGCTTGGTTGTGACCAACTAATTTTGACAAGCTAATTCAACCTGTGGAGACTCTTTGTCATCGAAAAGCTGTGAGGAGCATTAGCTGTCCACTGAAGTGCCCTCCTGTGTATACCACAAAGGTTGCATCTTCTAGCCTCCATTGCAGCCAGATGTGTCCTTGGGTTAAGCATTTTTCTGCAGTGGATGTGAACAAAAGCAAAAAGCACGTCAGTTTTGGCTTTTCCCCATTGCTTACTGGATGCAGATGCCAAAAGGGCAGAGGTAGGAGGTAAGCCTCAGGTCAGGATCCCTGACCACTATGGAGAACTACCCACCAACCTGAGCCAGCCCCGGCCTGTTACAGGAGCAAGCAATAAACTTCTGATATGACTAAGCCACTACTGATTTGTAACTTATTTGAGCAGTTTAGCTCAGCCCAGCTTCCACAAGGCTGAGGCCCAAATGAGTAGAACTGAGTTTAAATTTACTTTTTATGTGTATGAGTGTTTTGTCTGCATGTAAGTGTACCAAGTGCGTGTACAATGCCTGAAGGGGACAGAAAGGGGTATTGAATCCACTGGAACTGGAGTTATGGACAGTTGTTAGCTGCCACGTTGGTACTAGGAACAGAACCCGGGTTTTCTGCAAGAGTAACCAGTGTTCTTAACCTCTGAGCCATCTCTCTGGCTCCTAACAAAGATAATCATGATGGTCATTTTCCTAAAATAATGTGTGAATTTCATTCTAAAGTTCTCTTTAAGAGATCCTTTAGGAAGTCCTTATCCAGTTCAATCTCACAAATTGAATTTAAAATCTAATGGTCCTTCTTTTTGGTCAGCTTTCTGTCACTATAACAAAATACCTCAGATAATCAACTGATAAAGAGGACAGATTTACTTAAGCTCATTTTGGAGGTTCCAGTCCATCATTTGGGCCTGTGGTGGGACAGTACATCACAGTGGGTGGGCGTGGCAGAAGAAACAGTGGCTTCACAAACCAGGGAAGGAAGAGAAGAGCTAGGAGGGAGTTGGAGGTACCTGAATCCCCTCTGTGGGCATGCCTCCAAGGACCTAAAGGGTCTCCCTGGCCCTTCCCAATAGCACCAAATTTTATAGCACATAGGTCTTTGGGGGCATCCTAGAGCTATTTTGCATTCCTTAAGATAGCTTTTGTGATTTCAGCCCAAGATAGAGCCTTACATTTGAACAGGCATGCACCATGTGGTATCTTATTTAACGTCCACAGTCTTGTTGAAAAAAAAAACAAAACCAGCTTCCCATTACTAAAGATGAGGAAAGTGAGACTCAAAGTAGGTCAAATGAGTTGCCTGAAAGTCACATTGAGGCTGACATGGCTAAGAGCTCATGTAATCACTTCCTTCTCTACCCTCCACTTGGCAGGCAGAGGGATCCTGCCAACACCTACTCTGAGTCACACCAGGATGATGACAGAAATACATTTGTTGCCCCTCCCCCCATGCTCTTTAAGCCTTTTGTGGGTGTTTGTGTTCAGATAAGACATCTAAGGAGAGGAGCACAGTCTGCAGCTAAATGCTGGTCTGACTGCAAACTGTGGTCCTCTGAGCAAGAAATGACAATGACCAGTGTCCAGGCCTTACTTTATTTTTACGGAAGCGGTGGCCCTGCAGCCACGGGAACATGTATTCTGGAGAGGAGGCACAGTGCCTGAGGCTCCAAGAACCTGCTAGGGGGACCCATGCCTTCTCCTTTGTCCCCATGACCAAAAGAAAACAGCCCCCCGCCCCCGGCCAAAAAAAAAAACAACAAAAACCACACAGCACCATGCCCATCCCTTCTTCCCCTCCAGTAACAGCCAATTCAGCTTTCTAGCCAGATAAAGTGGCTACAACTGATTTTACAGAAAACCTTCATGCAGCCAAGAAACCAGAGCCATAAGGGGGAGAGGCTCATGTGATTTTCCACATGCACTGCCCAAAGTGACTTCACCAAGCCACTGCCCAGATGGACGATGACAGGAGAAAAAGCTGGAACTCAGTTCACCATGCTTGGAAGATGACCACTTTCCAGGCAAGACATTATTGGAGCCAAACAAAAACCCAAGGCTGATGTGATTCTAAAATTCTTTCATTTCCCAGGTCCTGGGGAATGTCTCTGAAGGGCTGAGTTTTGCTTATAGGGATAAGGATGACACACACTGCTGGCATCTCTGGCCACTGCCACAGTGGCTTTGGGAGGGAGGCTCCACTGGTAAACGATGGCACTTTAGCCATTGGACTAACTAACCTAGCTCATGTTAACCATTCATCTACAGCAAGTAGAGTCATCAGTCTACACAAGTGAGGATGTACATGGACCAGCAGAAGCGCTCACGCCAGGACTGCATGCTACAAAGTGAAGGTTACATTTTCTTCCACAGGCCAAATGGATGAGGTGGTTCCTCTGCCTTCCGGACTGCCACAATGTACTAGCCCTCACAGGACCACACTGACACCGTGTGGTGTGGCAGTCCCTGGGTAGCATCAGATAGCATTCTTCAACGTGTGACTTAAGAATTCTGTCACCTGCCAGACAGATGAGCCTTTCTGAAAATGACATGGGAGCCAGCTTGGCAGTTGAAGGAAGAACTTTTAGATGATGGACAGCTCCTAACTGCCACCTGGATCATTTATTTTTCCCCCTGACTTTCCAGCATGATCAAGACTTTCCATGGGTTTTGCAACCTAGTGTCTAAGAAAGTCAGAAGGCTGCAGGGAGCTTGTTCCAGTGTGACAGGTGAGGAAACTGCAGCTTGGTGGGACTATGACCAGCTCAGCTCTCGAATTCTGGTTTCCCTTCCAGGACTCGATTCCCCCGACTCTGGGTTTTCAGCTGGGTTTTCAGGTTCTGAAGATGGAGCTGTACAACCAACCACACTTCAATAACAAGGCAGAAGAACCCTGGAGGTCCCTCCCTCTGGAACGGAAACAGAAGCTACCTTTCTCTGAGCTTAGGATTTGTAAGGCACTGAAATTAACTAGAGCTGGGGAGGGGAACAAAATGGGGGATGAGCGACTGGGGAAACTTGAGATTCACTTTCCTTTCAACCCCAGGGAGAGTCCTCACAGGAGCACAGGGCTGATGTGCCTTTCCCACTCACAATGGGAACCACCCCCATGCAACACAGCCACGAGCATGTGTCCCCATTGTGACTAAGTGGGTTCTGGAGGAAGCCTGGAAGGTAGGAGCCAAGAAGGACAAGCCCAGGCAGGCCAGATTTCCATCTTGAGATGTCTTTTCCAGAAACAATCCTGAGTGAACTCAGTCACGGCTGGGGTGGCCTACGGGCCTGAGCACACAGGAAGAAGGGGTAGGACGGCCCCAAGGATGACAGAGAGAACTTTGGAATGGACCTGGCTTTGGCACAGCACATCCTGGGTCAGCCTGTCCCACATGTGGCCCTCCTGAGGCCCAGGATGAGAGAAGCCGCCTTTGTTTCCATGAGGGCTCTTGTGGCTGACTCAGGGAATGGAGGTAAAACTCCAGGACATCCCCCAACACTGGGCACACCAGCCAAACCTGTGATGAGTTATGGAGCGCCTTTCTGAACTCAGCTACTGAATCCAAAGCACAAGTCAGATGTGAGGCTGAATGGGAAGCACTTAAGTGGCCCCTCCATATGACAGGCGCTTGGCTTAGATAACATATTGCAGGTAGGTATTCTTGCCCCCTTCCACAGATGAACTGACTGGGGCAGAGGGGGGCCAAGTGACTGACCTGGAGCCACATAGCTAATGAGAGTAGCTAAACTGGGACCTAGACTCAGGCCTTGTCTGACTCCAAATCCCATGTGCTTCCACTTGCCTGGGCTGCCCAGGAGGCCACTGGGCTGCCTGGGGGATTTCTGGAGGGGTTTCTTCTTGAAATCTGGGAAAGTGGTCAAGCTGGAGTGGAGGGAAGAGCAAGTCTATTCCCATGCATCTGGCTCTCCTGGAAGCCCAGCTCAGTGCCTCGCGGCCTTGCAAATCTTGTCATACACCTCGGGGAAGGCATCCTGGCAGCCAAGCTGCTTGCGCAGCTTGTGGTACAAAGAGCCGTCAAACATCTCCCAGAACTCCTCTCGGTTCATGTAGCAATCAGCATAAAGCATTTGGAACCTGCGCAAGAGAGATGGGGTAAGGACATGGAGAGGGCAGGTGGATGAGAGCCCTATGTCCCCAAACCCTGGCCACTCACCCATGCACACTCCGCACAAACTTCTCCAGCTGCCTCATGCAGGACCTGGCCTCAAAGTGCTTCACACGAGGCTCCCCATATGCTCCAATGTCCACGTAGAGCTCAGTTTCATCTCCCTTAGGGTGTACAAGGCCTGGTTGGCTGGGCAGGATGAAGGGGCACAACCAGATGGGGTAGACCTGGGAGGCCAGGGAGGTAGGTCAGTCTGACTTTTCTCCAGCAAGAAGCAGACACAGGTTCCCCCTGACCCCGAGAGATTTGTGGCAATCAGGTGATAGAGAGCTTCAGTTTCTCCAGCCCCACCCCAATTCTACCATATAGAGGCCACTACGGAGTTCATAAAAGTGCTCTTCACAGGGCACCATGGCCCCTCACCTTTGTAGCCATGGCCAAATGAACCATGGCAAGAGGCTAAAACCCTCATTTTATAGTTCCCAGAGGGCAGGTGTGCCAAGGTGGATGATATGGCTGTGGGGAGAAGGCCTAGAGTTCATGGGACCATGCCCGCTTGGCTACCCTGGCTTACGTGGATGTCATTTTGGAAGGTATGCAGGGCCTGAGGCAGGCACTTCAAGGGCACCAGCATGTCCTGTACCACGTGGTGCTGCTCGTACAGCTTGCGTAGGGTCTCGCCCTGGGTCAACTTCAGGAGGGAGATCTTGGGGGGCACCATCCAGCCAAAGAGGTAGCGGAAGATGGGGTTATTGCCAAAAGGTATGATGTCCTGAAAGACAGAGGTGGGGTGGGTGGGGAGAAGGGGCCAGGGCCAGGCCCTTGATCTACTCAGTCCAAGTAATCCATAGTGCAAGCCCCTCTTTACAGTGGGGAGGGAACCTAGGAATTCACCAGATGGATCTGAGTTTGAGCCTCATCTCACACATTTACCAACTATGATGACCTTGGGCTAGTTACATACCTTCTCTGTGCTCAGCTTCCTTATCTGTGAAAAATGACTTTTGAGGCAGATAGAGATAATCTGGCCCGTGACAGGAACAAGGTGAAAAGATGGTTACCATTGCTGTTCTGGTTATTGAGGCCAGCGTGTCTGGCATCCCATAAATGTCTGTAAAATGAATGCTACTCAGACTGCTTAAGCAGTTTTCCTAAGGGCACACAGTAAGACGGCTGGGTGGGTGGAGTCTGACTTGCAGCATCCGTGCACACAGCCTGACCATTCCCCTGCTGCAATCAACTCTGTGTCCCAGAGCCCCTACTGGAGCGACGCTGTCCTTCCTCTACTAAGTCTCAAATGACCCCTCAGCACTGCTGCTTTCCAACCACACCCTTTACTTGGCTAGCTCCTCCCCACTCCCAGGACAGGCCATCGCATGGCTCCCCAGAGAGGACTCCCTGGCTCACAATGTTCTTCCCAGCTCCAGGCCCTGCTATCTTTCTGAGTCACCTGTGTATAGACGGTATCACAGGTTCCAGAGCCTTGAAGCCAAAGTTGCTCTTAACTCTCCAAGGTGAGGAACTACGCTGGGTGCCAGAGATAACAAGACATTTGGGACTTAGCTCCTATCTTAAGATGTTCCCTCTCTTGGGTATGTGGGGGAACAGGGCACTGGACTGCAATGAAGCTGGGACAGAGAGAAAGAGGCAGTTCCTGGAGGTTCCTTCAGAGTAGTGTGCCAAGTGCCAATAGTGACACTTCTCCTGCATCACTGGAATCAGAGCTCTCCCATGAGGACACCTGTCTGCTGTCTTGTCTGTCAGGTCTGCACTGCACGGATGCCTGACACACCAGAAGTACAGTCAATAGCATGGCTGGCACTGCTGTGCACTGGGCATCAGAACCGAGCACTGCAGTGATACTGATGTGAAGCCAGAGTCAGCCCACTGCAGCCGTGCCTGCTCATTTATATGTGACTAGGGCAGCTACTGGGTTAGGAGTGCCGAGCAGTACCTGGAGCCCAGGTCCCCCAACTGGACCTCTCTGGTCCCTTCCACAGCCTGCTGAGCCCTGCCCTGCTGCCTGGATGTACAACCATTTGTTGAAGCAGGCCTACACTGATGAGCATTTGGATTATTTTTAGATCAATCCAGTGACGTTCCTTTGCATGTGTCTTTGCCCTTTAATGTGTACATTTGATAGTAAGATAAGCTCCTAGACATGGATAAGCATAGATTAAACAGCATGGATAACTAATGGATCCTACTCACGAGCTCGTACCTTTTCGTATTTTGAAACTGAAGGTGAACACCGCTCCCCACATCCTTGCCAGGACAGCGTGCTGTCACACTTCCAGATCTCTGTGGTTTCTCTGATAGGTGAACTGTGAGACAACTGTGATACCTGCTCCTCACTCTAAGTGTGATTATGTCACCTTTCTCAGGTGTGCTCTGTGTCAGCTGGAACTGTTCCTTTCCCAGTCAGCCTCAGAAAGCTCATGTTTGAACACTCACCTCACTCTTCTTCCTCGTCTCTGCTGCCCCATTACACATCCATTCTTTGGTACCTTAGTCACCTGGCTTCCTTCCCCATTCTGTGCTGTCAACATGCTGAAGTCACTCACTCCAGGGACCTCCCCACAGCTGCTTCCCCCTCAGGCTCCTGCTATCTGACATCATATCGCTAGCATCTGGCCTGCTACTGGCTACCTCTGCTCCACTGGGCTGGCTGCAGGGCCCAGCACAAATTCAAAAGCCCAGCATGAGTCAGGAACCCAGGCCTGAGGAAGACCATGTGGCCACAGGTATTACCAAAGACTCCAATATATCCTTTCTTACCCATGTTAACCCCACCCCACACTGGCCAACCACAGGTGCTGAAAATGGCAACCCTAAGGGAAGGGAGCACTGGGCCTACTCCGGATTCCCTTTTCTCAGCTCTCCCTTACTCAGCAGAAAGTCAAAGGTTGGATGGTGAGTGATCATGTACCAAAAGTGAAAAAAGGACCCACTGAGTTAGTTTTATTTCACATTGTGTGTGTGTGTGTGTGTGTGCACATATGCATACACCAATGGCATACTTATGGAGGTCAGAGAACAACTTTGGATGTTGACTCTTGCCTTCTACCTTGTATGAGGCAGGGTCCCCTGCTGGTCTCAGCTATATATGCCAGGCTAGCTGGTCTGAGCTGCTAGAGTCTCCTGTCATCGCTTCCCATCTCCCTGTAGGTGCATGAGATTACAAATGTGCACTACTGTGCCTAACTTTACATGAGTTCTGGGGATTCAAACTCAGGTTCTCATGTTTGTGAAACAAGTGCTTTACCCACTGAGCCACTGCCCCTCCCCCAAAGAACTGTCAAAGCAACTTCAAAACAACAGTTTTCTTTCTTCTCCCTGGAAGTATTGGGGATTGGACCTACAGCCTCATAAGTACTGGGCATGCATACTGCCACTGAGCTATAGCCCCAGCCCCAGCCCTTATGCTGCCCTCTTAAGGGAATAAAGAAATACACATGCAGGAGGAGTTAAGTACTCATCTTTGTGTTCAAAGGTAAATGGTAAAATTGATATTAATAACTTCCAGTTTTAAAAAATTTCTCTACTTAGCATAAAATTAACTTGCAAATATTTATGACAAGAATAGACCACAGGACAAAGGAAATGCTTTATGTTTTAGTAGTTTTAGTGGTACTTTTGGCCTGTTTTGTACACTGGGTCCTGACTCCTAGTGCTGTTGACTTGACCCAGCTGGATGAGGGGAGGTACTTAGGCCAGCCAGGTGACAGGAGTGGAGTGGTGGGGTGGGGGTAGGGGAGTAGGGTGGTGGTGGTGGGCAGACTCAGCATTCAGAATGAGTCTTCTTAAGGAGCTCAGGTTCACCTGGTTCTTTCAAAGGCCCATTTCTAAGAGAGGATGGTGGAGGGACGGCGGTCAACAGAAAAGAAGGCATTGCCCTGGTGGGGAGGCGTGTGGGTTGGAATCTTGCGCTGCTCCTTTTTGGAAAGGTCTCAGATTCTATAGCTTCAGCTGTGGTGTCCCACTCACTTCCCCAGCCATGGAGTGGCCCCTGCTGACACGCAGAGCTAAGTCCCTCTTCACGGAACCACCCTTGGCAGAAGTGAGCTGCCTTATTTGAGATGGGGGGAGGGGGAGGCCTGATCCAGGGGCAGAGGTACAGTATAAAGTCCTTGCCCACTAGCCTCAAGGGAGACACAGCTCAGAGTCAATACCACTTGGAGCTTCCCATGGGCCAGCTGAAGTCCTCTTTGTGACTGTTATAGCTCGGCTTCTCCTGCTGCTCAATCTTGCTGCCCTATTGCCCCATAATTCTAAGTCCCAAGAGTAAACTTCTAGTAGGCAAACACAGGCTTAAATCACCTGTTCTTCCAGTTTCTGACTTTAAATGAAGGCGGTACAGGACAGTGTTTACGTAACAGCACAAAAATATAAGGTGAGGTTCTTTTTGAGCTTTGACTTTATGTAGCAGTTTAAAATCTGTCCAGATTCTTTGCTGTGGTCCTCAGGAGATGGATCTTAGTGCCCCTCAGCTGAAGTGAACTTGACTAAATGACACATGGTGCCAACACATGGGACACGGTGGGAGTGAGCACAGAAGGCACACCACAGACTCCGCCTGGGTCTCTCTTAGGTGACACCTGCTGCTGGGGAGGCCAGCTGCTCTGGTGCCCATGTGGCTATGAGTAGGGCTTTATCTCACACTCATGGACTCTTCACTGGGGCTTGGACCACTGCATTCTCCCCCAGTCCACATTCGCAGCTCCCCTCACTAGAACCTGGACCACAGCACTCCCCCTTATTCTGCGCTCAGTTTCCTTCACTGGTGCTTGGACTACTGCATTCTCCCCCAGTCCACATTCGCGGCTCCCCTCACTAGAACCTGGACCACAGCACTCCCCCTGACTCAAGGTTCCCCTGTTCCCCTGCACTGGAATCTGGTAGACTGCAGTCCCTTCACCCAGCATGGTTCCCCTGCACTGGGGCCTGGCTGACTCACCCAGTGTAGCAAGCCACTCCATGAAGAGTTACTATGTCTTACGACACATGGTTCCCCTTCCTGGAGCCTGGACCACTACATTTCCCTTTGCCGTTCCAAACTAGAGCTCAACTTCACTGGATCTGGGATCACCATCACCTCCATCCACATTCATATCTGGTGATCTTAATACCCACAAAGATGAGACTACTATACTCTGGCCCCCAGCCTCCTGTCCTGTATTTGTCTTCCAGCAGTCCTCTCTTCTGCTCACCTCAGCCACTGACTCTTATGTCATACCCCAGGGCAGTGGACAGTGGACAACACTGTTACCATGGTGATCCAGTCTCAAAGCCAGTCTCTGCTAGTCAAATCTGGCCTGCTGCCTATTTTCCCAGAGCCAGCCACACTTTTATCATTTATCTATTGCCTGTGGTGCTATTTGCAGCAGAGCTCAGATGAAGTATAAAAGCCCAAAATATTGGCTAGATGGCCCTTTAAGAATGTTTACTTAGCCTTGGACCATCAGTATCTATATTTATCATGCCACAGTTCCTACTATCCAACCTTCCCTTGAGATGGGCCCATTCTACCTATTCAGCCAGCATCCACTGTCACAGTGTGAAAACCCACAGCCACATGTTGACCTCAAAATGAATTCCTGGTCACTAGTCTCAGCAAGTCCAATGATGCCCCCAGACAATGTACTTCCTCTTCTGCAGGGGCAATTCACATGTTCCTCTTCTCAAGCCATCACCTTGCCCCACCTGGAATTCCCACTTCTGACTTCATTGAGAAGTTATAAGCAATCAGAAGAGAAATCCTTCAACTTCTCACCTCCAACCTCCCCTGCCCCCCACTGCTTAGTGACTGTTCCCTTCTACCCACATTACCACCAAGGGGCCATCTTCTCACCTAAATGAAGGAGCCACCCCACTCTATAAAAACACCCCCATCAGCCCCAGGACACATAACCATGTTGTCACCTCTCCTTAAAACAATCACAGGAACAAGATTCTTTCCATTGGTCCTCCCCCAGCTATGTGTCCTGAGTCTCTTCAGAGAGGGAGCGTTTCAGACTGCTTTCATTACCTTCATTCTCTCATCACCCATTCTCTTGCAAACCCAGCCTGCGGGGTTTCCGCTGCTCAAAGCTGAGCAGCTTTTTACCCTCCTTCCTGAAGGTCTCTGGTGGGCTCTGGCTGAGGGCACCCAGGGCTGGGCACCTCCACTCACCTACTTCCACGGCTTTAAATAACATTTCTCAAAAAAGAAAAGAAAAAGCCAGGTGTGGTAGCCCTACAATTCAGCACCTGGGAGGTGGAGGCAGGAAGGTCAAGGCTAGTCTCAGCTACATAGAGTTCAAGGCCAGTGGGAGCTTCATGAGACTTTGTCTCATAAACAAAAAACAAAATCAAAGAGAAAACCAAACAAACAAAACTCCCACAAACGGGAAAGCATTTCTCTGCAACTGAGGCCCATATTTAAACACATGGCCTCAAGCCTCTGCTAAGGATCCTCTCGTGCTTAAACACACAGCTGGCTGGCTGTTGATTCGGGGCTCTACTGGCAGGCCCAGAGAAATAGCTCCAATAGATATGCTTCACTGAGTTTCTAATAGCCCATCCCCAGGCCACCCCTTGCTTCCTGTAGTAGTCCAGGGTACCTCCTCACCCAGTTCTTGGCTCTCGAACCCTGACTCACGCCAATAGTCAGAATGTCTGGAAATCTGGATGGACAGCTCAACTGTCACAATCCCTCCCTGGCCTGATGCTACTTTCCTCCTCCTATGCCACCTAGACAACAGAAATCTTGTTTCTTCTTTCAAGATGACCTAGTCCTCACCCTACCCACCCCACCCCACCCCACTCAGCTACCAAAGATATTCTTTTAAAATGAAAACTAGGACATATCACCTTCCTGCTCAAAGCCCCCACCTACTTCCTATCACACTTAGGATAAAGCCTTAAGTTCTCGCTAGACCTACAAGGAGCCATGTAATCCAGCCTCTGGCTGCCGTATGACCTCATTCTGCACCACAGCTCAAGAGCTTAGCAACCTTCTCACTGTGTTTCAAACATATGCAACCTGCTGGGACAACTGGATCGCAAGGAGCAAAAGACTGGAGGCGACTGCTGCGTCTCAAAGTATACGCAAATGCTCAACCTAAATGGAGAAGCTCTGACCTGGGGGGGTGGGGGGCAGAGAGAGGATCTTCATGATCTTGCATTTGGCAATATGACACTGAACAAAATAGATAAGTTGGCTTTCATTTACAATAAAAATCTGTACATCAATACACATTGCCAAGGATGTGAAAAGAAACGTGCAAAATGGGAGAAACACTTGTGAATCATGTAGCTGATAATAAAGAACACACACAGCTCAACAACAGAGACAAAGAGCTCAGTTTAGAAAGGGCGAAGGAGATGGCAAGATGGCTCAGTGAATAAGGGTGCTTGCCACAAGCCTAAGGACCCTAGTTTGATCTCCAGCACCCACATAGCAGAAGGAGAGGATGCTTGCAAGTTGTCTTCTGACCTCCACACATACACCAGAGTACCCCATAAACAAACAAATAAATGTAATAAAATTAAAACAAACAAGACTCCACAAATGGCCAACAAGTACTTCACATGGACGTTCAACATCATGAATCAATAAGGAACTGCAATCAAACCCCCAATGAGATACCACTGTACACCTGAGGATGACTGCCTATTAATGCCTCCTGAAAGATGGGAGCAGGTCTCCTTTCCCCAAAGTATGGCCCCACCCTCAGTGCCAGGGTTGAAAGCTCTCACTGCAGTGGCTGTCCCACAGTCTAAAACATAGTAACTACTCTGTGGGTCCATAAGGACAAAGCCACTCCCTTTGCTGAAGGGCCAGCACAAGTGTGGCCATGATGTTAATGGTGCTGGCTCTCTGCCTGCTGGCCCAGAGCAGCCAGGGCCACAGGAGAGCCATGCCTCACCTGGAGCTCCCAGAAGATGCTGCGTGTATGGCGGTGGTAGTAGTGCCTCAGGGGAATGTACTCCAGGCCCTCCTGATTTGTCTTCAGGTAGTTTTCCACGTGCTTGAAGAACCATGGTTTGTAGTAACTGCCAATGCTATTCAGCTGAAATGACACAAGGCATTGTCATCAGGCCACAGAGCGTGCCAGACACCACCAGGGAGCCACCAGGGAGCAACAGTGATCCAGCCGCTGTTCAGTTCTACTGGCCTTTTCAAAGCTCTGTCACGTCAATCCTCAGCCTTGGAGAGTCTTTAAAGCCACACAGGTTGGGCACAGGCAGGCACTCTCCAGTACAGCAAACATTCAGTGACCTTAAGTGCTGTGCACAGGGCCAAACGGATGGCTCCAGCAGTCTAAGGGACTCAGTGGCCCATCCTAGCCGCAGTCCTCATGAACAGAGTCAAATGTTCATACTACCGCTGATGATGCAGAGCTCTGCATAGGGAGCTCCCTCTTCCTGCCCTGACTCAACCCACTGCCATAGCCCCAGCTGATTGTGGCACTTCTCCTAGTGAAGTAAAAGTTCTGGCCCTGGGCTCTGCGCTCTCCAACGCCTAAATCATACATTGAGCTGCTCTTATAGCCCTCAGAGGCACGAGCTTTGATTTACTGTGTACCAAGATGATGCAGCTGCTTGGACCTCAGTTACTTTGCCCTCAACATGAATCCTGGACAGACCTTCCTGGGAAGTGGCTGGGGGATCCTGGGAAGAGCACAAGTTCTGGGCCTGGAAGGCTGGGGCCAGATGTTGCCAGGCCATATCCTACCTGTGTGACCTGGGGCAGGCTACTCCCTGAGCCCATTTCCTTCGTTATATAAAATAACAATAAAAATATACATTTTATTTAAAAAGAAAGAACTGTATAGATTCAGGGTTTATGACAGCATACATACTCTCTCAATAAAAAACAGGATTCTGTACATGTTGTGCCAATCTGTTCTTCCCACTTACAAGGCATGAGTACCATGCAGGCCAAGAGAACACAGGACACACGGAATATGGTGCCTGGCCCACAGTGGGGCAGGGTCAGTTCCTTGCCCTCTTCCTGGCTTTTAGTCTTGCTTTCTGCAGCCAGCCCTTGCAGCTTCTCTGGGTACAACCTTCTTGTGAAGCCTGTTTGCCCAAGCTGGTTTCAGTGAGGACAGTGAGGCCTCTGCTTGGTAACGGAAGACCGAAACCCAGCAGCAAATGGAGCAACTTGATCTAAGCCAGATGAGACCTGACCGCTCACCTGGCAGTGGCAACCACTAACTCTGTAATGAAGTTGAGACTTTGGGCTCCTGGGTCCAAGTGCTCTGGGTTCTTCCATGGGAATCACTGTGCCAGAGGAAAGGAAGCCAACCCAACTGTCCCCCCAGGACACACACCAGCTGGGAAGGCCCAGTGACTACAGAAAATTGTTCTGGCCCTAGTTTTTCCAGAGAAAGCCACCTCCTGCCTGGTTATAAAATGGGGGTGTGCTATGTCCTTGCAGTGAGTCTCACTCTGGGTGTTGCCACCAGGCAGCCCATGACAGGGTTTGGCAGTCTTCTAAACTGGGATGCTTGGAGAAAAGCTACAATGAAATGCTGGCCCATCTAACAGCATCTACCACTCTCCTATAGCTCTGCTCCCATCTGGTGTCAAAGCCTTGCTCACCAGGACAAATGGCAAGCATCTCTGGCCTCTGAGTTTTTCTGCCACTGAGCCTGAAAGAGCTTCTGGTGAGTATCTCAGGACCTTCAGTCCCTCCTTGGGAGTTACAGGTCAGGTGTCCAAACACTTTAAAAAGCTGAACAAATCCTTCTAGCAATCACCAACTTAGGTGGTATCTAACACATTAGATGACAGTAGGAGCTATTTTGGTATGGTGGGTGGCAACACCCCTTGACCCCTTCTCTCAGCTTTCGGTTGTGGAGAATCCCTAAGGAAGCCTCAGAGATGCTGAAACACCCCTGGATCTGACACCCCTGCTAGGTGATTAGGGGCTGGGAACACACAATGACTGGGCTTGAGCCCAGGGAGGGTCAGAACAGTCAGGCTCCATGTTTGCTGTTGCCACTACTGCTGTGGGACCCCCTCCACCAGACACACAAGAGTCCCACCAGGAATCCGTGCTTGTGGATGCTGCTAAAGTCTAGAAGCCGGCACACGGGGAACCCACATGAACAAGGGCTCAAGAGACCAGAACTTAAATCTGCTGTGCTTGCCATGTGCCCTCGGGAGTCTCTTTCCTTCTAAGGGCCTCATTTCTTTACTTGGAGAGGGCAATGTCCCACATGATTCTTGAGTCTTTTCCAATTATTTTAATTTTATTTGATTGAACCGAGGGCTTCACACATGCTAGGCCAGCACTTTACCACTAGGCCAAACCTCCAGTCCTCCTTTCCAATTAAATTTTGTTCCATTTATTATTTATTTTCTATCTATCATCTATCTATCTATCTATCTATCTATCTATCTATCTATCTATCTATCTATCTATCTATCTATCTATCTATCTATCATCTATCATCTAATGTGTAGGTCCCAAGAATCAAACTCAGGTTGTCAGGCTTGGTGGGAAGCATTCTTACCTGCCGAGTCATCTCACCAGCCTCAATTTTAAAATGTTTTAAGTATACAGGTACAGATCAAAGAGTCTTCAAGGGCTAGAAAAATGGCTCTGCAGTTAAGAAGAGAATGTAATGTGCCTTACAGAGGACCAGAGTTTTGTTCCCAGCATCCACATCCAGCAGCTTATAACCACTTCTAACTCTAGCTCCAGGGGGATCCAATGGTCTGGCCTCCGTGGACACTAGTACTCATGTGTATATACCCACACACAGACCAATACACATATACATATTTAAAATAATAAAATAAATCCTTAAAAAAGATATTCTTCAAATGTGTATCAAAAGATAGACTTCAAAAAGTGACAGATAAAACACATCACTGTTTCACTATTTTAAAGAAACAACTTAAATTTCTAATAGTGGACAATGGTTTTGTAAGCAATAGATAGGGCATCTGCCCAGTGTACTGTTCTGTACACATTAACTAAGGCAACAAGGAAGGCCATACAGCACAGGCCAATGCTTACTCCACTGAATGAGACATCTGAGCAGGTGATCACAGGTAAGGACAGACTAACCAGAAAACTGCAAAGAGATGTTCACCTTGCAAGTAACACAAGAACTATAAAATAAAAAGCACTATTTTTAACCTTATCAAATTGGAAAAAATGAAAGTATGATACTATCTCTTCAGCTGGTAAGAATGTAGGGGAAAAGGCTTTCTCCACTGCTGCTGGATAGGGGCATGAACACGACTCTCTGGATGGCTATGTGGTCTCATCCGTGATTAGAGTGCTAACACTTTGGCTTATAATTCTATTTCATTCATAAAAATGTTGGTACGAAAGCATAAGAACACATGCAAGAGAGTCTTAAATCATCAGTGCAATACTGTCTGTAAGAGCAAAATGATGAGTCAGGCCGAACAGTTACATGTAGCAATGTGAATTACAGGATAAAAATCAGGACACATACATACCAGAGAAATAGGTCTTGAGGAACACACAGCAAACTATGCACAGGGTTACTCCAGGGCTGAAGGGATGTACCTTGACTTTTTTTATGTATTCAACATTGTCATACTAATTTATAATTTAAAAACTTAAGAAAAAAAAAAACCTGTGTGCATAGAAGGGAAAAACTGAGTTGGAGGTCAACCTGGGCTATATTGTAGTTACTGAGCTAATATAACCCTGTCTGAAAAAACAAAGTTTAAAAGATTACATATTATATTTTCTGTATAATTAATATGTGCTAATAAAAACATGAAAAATTGCATGGTATAAATTGAAGGTATGTCAATCTAGATTTGGAGACGTCAAAGCAATCTTGGCACTGTCATCCTGTGGGAATTTACATTAGGCCCTGGCATCATGGCTTGCTCATCTATTACACAGGCTGCTCTGAGCAGCTCAGGGTATGCCTACCAAGTAGAGCACATGCCTGGCAGGCAGCAGGAGGGAAGAAGACAGGCTCTCATGGCTGCTTAAGACATTTCTGTGCCTGGGTAGGCCATGCTAAAGAGCAGTCTAGAAGAGGCCCAGACCCAACCAACCGAACCCCTCCTCCCCTTGGTCTTGATCTCTAGCAGTTAACACCTTGGCCTACCTTGCTGGGTTCTACTTCATCTGTCATGACCCCTGTCATGATGACGGCCTCATCCAGGGAGTAAAGCAGTCCTTCCACAAAGTGGTTCTCCAGCCGCTGGGACTCTTGGGTAAATTTATCACAGATGGCTTCCAGGCCCCGAACTGGCTCAAACTGGAGCTTGACATACTTCTTGGCAGGAATGATGCGGATCTCAGCAGCCACCAGAAAGCCCAGGGTCCCACAGGACCAGGGCACGGCATAGAACAGGTCTGAGTTTTCAGACTATGAGATAGAATTGACATGTGCTGAGTTTGACCCCTGGACTCTGTCAAAAGAACAACCTGGGGCCTGGACTGGATTCCTGCCTGTCACTATCTTAAATAAGGAACTTAAAATCTGTACTCAAGTTTCTTCACTGTGATTTCTACTTGATACACTTAAAATTTTTTTCTAGTTTAATTTTTGTTTTATGTATATGAGGGTTTAGCCTGCATGTATATAAGTATACTCATGCATGCAGTACCTGTGTAGGCCAGAAGAGAGCATTAGATCCCCCAGAACTGGAGTTATAGACAGTTGTTACCTGCCATGTGGGAACCAAGCCTGGGTCTTCGGGAAGAGCAGCCAATGCTCTTAACTGCTGAAACACCTCTCCAGTCCCTCCACCTGCTATCTAACCTCCTACTGCCCGTTGAATCAGATGCTCAGAGAGACAGCATCTGCCCCCTGCTACCGAGGCCCAGCCCAATAACTACAGCCTACCTAGAAAAGTTATGACCAGAACTGCCCCCAAATCCCAGATGAAGGACTGAGGGGCAGGGAGGGGCCCCAGACGGGCTAAGCTAGAGCCGAACCCCTACAAAGAGTCAGGCAGCCACGGCCATGGAAATGTGAAACGCCCTTCTCCTAAGCCAGTACTAAGTGACAATGCCTTTCTCAGTCCACTACCTTGGGGATCCTTTTTACCCCACAGTCATGGTCCAGTAGGGCACTGCCCCCTTTTGACAGGTAAGGAATGTGAGTCTCTAGGTGACCTGACTCACCCAAGGATCCCTGGAAAGTCAGCAGCATCTCAACTCAGATATGGTGTTCTCACTACAGCCCCTCCTTGGGTTCTGCACATCTATTTCTAATCCTACCACTTTTTCTTTTGACAACTGTCTCAGAGGCAGACCACTTCTCTATTCTTTGGTCATTCTAATTCAGATTCTTTAAGTCTGAAAAGGCCCGTTTCCAAAAAGTCCAGCCTTGGGCTGGTTTACCAATAGGGCCAGCCAGCCATGTGCCAGCTCTACTAACCTGCACTGTCATAGTGGTGGGCAGGCTGGGGAACTACAGGGTCAGGGGCTGGGCAGAGAAGCTTTGTAGCAGGTAGCAAAAGCCTATTGAACAGCAGGGGTGGGTCAACTAATTCCCTCTCTGGGCTATCAGCTTATCATACTGACCGATCACAGGAGCAGACTCTTCCACCAGTGCACACCTGGCTCTACACTAGGAACCTCATAGTCTCTGTCTCCTTTCTTTGATGATAATAAAGAGAAGACAGGGCACAGGCAAGTGTTGAGGGAGATGTGAACTGATGTGACATACTTCTTGGCTGATTGGGGTACATCTATCCCAGTCTAGAACTCCTGAGATGGTCATCTTTCCTTGGGCTTTCTTCTGTGAAGTCAAAGCTCAGTTGGCTCTGAAGTACTCATTGTCAAAGGATCAGAGTGGCCCCTTACCTATTCTAGGAAAGATCTGAAATTTAATAAAGTTTTAATCTTGTCTCATTTCTTAGGTAAAATGCCTTAAATGTTTGTGTACCACTTTGAGTGGTAGAATATTCTTTGATTTCAACTAAACAGTCCCTCCAATTGCTTTTAGTTACACCTCATAGTATCTGATGTGAACTTTGACGACAAGGCCTGACTTCTCCAGAGAGTAGTCAAAGGGGATGACTTGCTAAGCGTAATGACCAGGGAGCCTGATTACTAGGTCTGTATTCAGTTGTATCCGTGTGACCTAGGGTAGGTTTTTAGTCTCTTTGTGCTTTAGTTTCCTATCTCTAAAATAGGGAAAATCAGCTGGGCATGGTAGTGCACACTTTTAGTCCCAGCATCTGGGAGGCAGAGGCAGGCAGATCTCTATGAGTTCAAAGTCAGCCTGGTCGACATAGTGAGTTCCAGGACAGCTGGGGCTACAGGGACACCCTGTCTCAAAAAGACCAAAGAGGGGAAATCAGAGTACTTACCTCACAGGTTCTTGAAAGAATTCAATGTTTTAACATATATGAAGCATTCCTAACAGTGCCTAAGCACACAGGGCTGTCTAAATTTCTGTTCTATTATGAGTATCAACTGAAGAGGTTGTATTTAAAATGAAGGGCCTCAAAAGGAGCCACTTTTCTGACTCCACAATCCCTAATGCACAGTAGGTTAGCTGGGATGGCCCCATCTCTGAACTCACCGGTGTGCATCGCACAAAGCTGCCATCAGCCAGGACCAGCTCGTATGCTGTGCAGATGTGTTGGAACAGGCCATACTTGTGGGATGACGACTCAATGCCTGTGCCCATGATTAGGCCCCCTGCAGAGACATGTGTGTCACCAGGGTAATGCACCAGGTATGCAAGGCTGAGGCTGGCAGAAATAGGGCTGCTGACGTAGAGGGGATTCCCCATCTCTGTCAATTTAGGGGTTAGAGTAAGAAGGAGCTAAGATGGGAGTGTGAGGGTTTCTTAGACACAAGGGGACAGACAGATGGACACCCCACCTTGGCCAGCCTCAACTAAGAAACCTGTGTGCATTCACTTTAAGAACTCGAATGAAAAGGGAGGTTACTAGGGTGGCAGGAGCCATGACAAAAAAAGGCTTTGGTGTCCATGAACCCTCTGGGAAGAGGGATCAGACTTATTCTGTGCCACAAGTAGAACTGGAGCAATGAACAGATAGACACAGGGAAGCAAGTTGACCCAAAAGCAAAAGGTCCTGTCAGATGGATATCCTGAGCTGCCCAGAAATGGAGCAGTACAGACTGAAAGTTTCACCACTGGCCTAAAAAAGTAAGACAGGGTGACTTCTGCCTCAGATGGAAGAGTGGTCATCCCTGCGCTGTAGGGATGGGGCCAATGCCCCTACCCTGCAATTCTGGAACCACCTAGCCCCTCCTATCCATGAACATGGAGTCTCACCTACTGTGAGGTCATCAAGCTCAGGCAACACGGGCAGGGTCCAGCCAATGGAGGTCAACAGGGCCGTCACCTGACCCATGGACACCAAGGGCTCCACTCGAACAATCTGTGTAGATAGAGAAGAGAAGCTCAGTCTGAAGGAGGCAGCAAATCCAACCAAAATGCTTGCATACAGAAAGTGTCACACCAGACCTACCTCAGATTCCTATTCAGCCTTTACAGATCTTTCTAGAGCACTATAATGTCTTTTATTATGGAAAATATAATCCCTGGTTCTGAGTTAGCTAATGTTAACAGATGTTTGTGGTGGCACACACCCATAATCTTGGCACCTGGGAGGCTGAGGCAGGAGAATTGTCACAAATCTGAGGCCAGTTGGGGTTGGATAGCAAGATCCTTTGAAAACAAGGATCTCCCCCAAATCCCCCCAATCAAAACAAACAAACAAACAAGCCCCCCCCCCAGAAAACCCACCCAAATATAACAAATGTTGAGTGTATTTTTTTCTAAATTATAGGAGAAACATTAATTTGGAAGATATGTAAAAACGGGGAAAACAGCAATCATCCATCCTAGCTATTCTTACCAAGGATAACCATGTAGATCTACCTTGCTTTTTCCACAGGTCTATGTTGCTCT